CATGTCATGTGTACGGACGGATTCCCAGACTGAGGTCAGTTTCAGTACCACGGGCTCGGCCCTCAGCCAGAGCCGAGCCGTTCCCGACCGCGGGGCCATCTTCGGCCGCGGCTGCTGGACCCGCTCCTGCTTCTTCCAGTCCCTCCCCTCCTGAAGGAACTGAGGCGCACTCGGATCTTCCACCAGAGCTTCGTCAAGCGCTAGACGCGCCGGCTCCTCCCCCTGGGCCCCAGGATTTGGGAAGGTTTGTGACGAGGACTCCAGAGGGTTTCGAGGGGCTCGCGAGCGAGCCGGACGAAGTCCAGGACGAAAGGTTGTTGGAAGAGCTGCGCCAGTGGTCCGGCATGAGGGGTGCGCCCAACTATGTGGCGCTGTTTGAGGATCCAGGGGCTTTCTCGGGAGCGGCCACCGTCTCGGGTTCAGGCAAGGTCTCCAATCCCCGTGGGGCCGAAGTTTCGCTGAAAGATCTGACGCCTGAGGAGAGGGCTCAGTTCGTTGACTCCGACCTCGCCGAGTGGGAAGCGATTTTGGCTTCCGGGGCGGTCCGCGTTCTCACTCCTGACGAGGCCCGACTGGCTCGCAGGCGCCATCCGGACAGAGTGCTGTCGTCCAGGATGGTCCGCCGTTTTAAGCCGATGGAAGGGGTCGGGGCCCAGGCGAAGGCTAAATCGAGATGGTGCGTCCACGGCCATCAGGACCCGGACGGCGAACACCTTTCGGTGTACGCACCGACACCTCAGACGGAAAGCATCCTCGTCACACTGCAGGTCATCGCCTCGATGAACTGGGTTTTACACGTTGCCGATGCGAAAAACGCCTTCTGCCAAAGTAACCGGCTAGAACGTCCCAACGGGGCCATTTATGTTGAACCCTGCGCCGGTCTTAACTTCCCCCCCGGTTCTCTTATCGAGCTGGTTGCTCCTGTGTACGGACTCAACGATGCGCCATTGCTATGGCATCGCACGATCACGGATTTCTTGGTGTCTCTCGGTTTCGAGAAATCATTGTTGGAGCCATGCCTGTGGCTGAAGCGGGCCAGGTTGGGAGGGCTGGAGGCCCTAGTGCTTATAGAAGTAGACGATCTTATAGTTTCTGGGGAGCCGAAAGCTTTGGCTGCTCTGAAGCGTGCCCTCGCGGATCGATTCAAGTTCGGGAAATGGAAAGAGCGTGAAGCTGACTATGCCGGGAGACATATCTCCCAGCTGTCGGATCGGATAGTGGTTGATCAAGAGAAATACATCAGAGAACAGCTGTCTTTAATGTTCTTGGGGAAAGATCGTCGTGCTCAAGTGGACTCCCCGCTCTCGCGAGACGAGATCAGCTCGTATCGCACCGTGGCCGCTCAGGTGCAGTGGCTGGCTCGGGAATCTCGTCCTGACGTGGCAGGCTCTGCGTCTTTGCTGGCGGCAGCGTTGCCCACCCCTTCTGTGGCAGATGCGCTAGCACTGATCAAGGTTGTGAAGTTCTTAAAAGCGTCACCGGAGCAGAGGTTGACTATTTGGAACCTCGACCCTGCTTCGGTGACTTTCGTCACGGCTAGCGATGCCGGTGGCCCCGGTAGTGCTCGTAGGGGGGGTGCCCAGGGAGCGTGGCTTATCATGGCCGCGGACTCTATTATAAGAGACAACAGGCGAGCTCGGGTGAGCGTGTTGGCTTGGCGATCCTTGAGGATCAAGCGTGCTGTGGCTTCCACGGTGGCGGCGGAGACTCTGGCCTTGTCAGGGGCCACCGGGGAGGCCCAATGGATCCAGGTCCTTTGGAGGGACGCGGTGTTTGGAGATGTTCCCCGTCCCTCGTGGTTTGAGGGCCAGCGACCATTCACGGTCATGTTGGCCAAGGATTGCTGTCTGGGGGAAGCTGCCTCGGGTCTCTCGGTCGTGGACGCGAAGTCGGTCTTCGACGTGCTCAGTCGTAACTCAGCCGGCTCAAGAGCCGACCGTAGGAACGCTGTGGAACTCGCCGTGATTCGGGACTCGCTCGCCTCGGTCGGTTCGCGAGTTAGGTGGGCCCCCCACGCCCGAATGCCATCGGACCCTCTCACCAAGGTCGATCCTGTCTCGGGCAATCATGCCCTGAAAGATTTGCTCTCGAAGGCTTCGCTCGTGCTAGTAGATGAGCACGGGCATTTAGACGAACGGGCGTTGAACGCCAGCCTGAAGTCAAGATCACGTGGCGCCAGTAAAAAGATGCTGGATGCCGAGGGGTTGAGAGCTCCGGGCCCCGACGGGCCCGTCTGGATCTCTACGGCTAGAGACGAGGGTGTCTCTGCCTCCTTGTTTTACGAGGGCGGAGGGGCCGTCCTCGGGAACTGTGCGGAGTTTTGTAGTTTTGACCGATTAGGGTCTCCGACGACGACGACGGTGGTGGGGACGACGTTGGCCGTGGCGGCGACGGCGCCGACGACGACGGCGTCCCTGGACCCGCAGACCCGCCCTCAGACCCTGGACTCGCCCGAGGTGCGGGACCGGGTGCCGGGCAAGGCCGGGCCGGAGGAAGGAGGAAGAGGAGGAGACGGCTGGAGGAGAACGAGGGACCCTGGGGGTGAGAGCAGGTTTCAGCCCGCGAGAATTTGGCCCGCTGTCCCCCATCTCTAATTTGGGTCCCCCCTCGTGTGTCTCTCGGGTCGCTCCCCTCTCCCGCTCCCCTCCGCTTCGGGCTTCACCGTCGCCAGCCTTTTAGGCTTAGTGCACCTGCGTCTCCTTTCCCCGTGCTGCTATGTAAAACATCCTGTCCCCACCCCAGTCTCTCAGTGCGCCATGCCCGACGATGGGGCTGACACCGGGGGGATGCCGGCACCAGGGGGGGGTGCCGGCACCGGGGATGGGGTGCCGTCACCGGGGGGGGGGTACCAGGGGGTGCCGGCACCGGGGGGGGGGGGGGCAGGGGGGGGGGTGCGGGCACCGAGGGGGGGGTCCGGCACCGGGGGGGTGCCGGCACCCGGGGGGGGGGTGCCGGCACCGGGGGGGGGGTGCCGGCACCGAGAGGGGGGTGCACGGCACCTGGGGGGGGGGGGGGGGGGCCGGCAGGGGGGGGGTGCCGGCACCGGGGGGGGGGGGGGCAGGCACCGGGGGGGGGGGTCCGGCACCGGGGGGGGGGGGGTGCCGGCGCCGGGGGGGGTGCGGCACCGGGGGGGGGGTGCCGGCACCGGGGCTCTTCTGGGGGCTTTCTTGGGCCGGTGGGGAGTCCCGGGGCCCGGTTCGGTTCCACTCGGTTCGGGCTTGCCGTTCGGGCCGGTTTCGACCGGCCGGTTCGGTTCGAACCGCCCGGTCCGGTTTCAGCCGGGCCGGTTCGGGCTCCGGTTCGGGCGGTTCGGTTGCAGGAGCCGCCGGTTCACGGTTACCAGTTCGGTTCGGACTCTTCTTGATGGGGGCCCCGAAGGTCCCATTGCTACCGCCGCATGCGTCCCGCACTCCCAGTACAGCGTTTCGAGGCCCCCTCCTCCCTCCTCCCTGCGTTTCAGCCACCAAGTGCAGCGCTTCGTGGCCCCATAGGGAGCCCCACCGAATGTCCCAGTGCTAAAGCCGCATGCGTCCCGCACACCCAGTACAGCGTTTCGTAGCCCCCTCCAGCATTTTCTTGGGCAGTTGTTCCCAGCCATCCTGTGGTGTTGGGCCCTCGTTTTGAAGAGACGGCGCCCCGCGTTCTCCTCCTCCCGCCGCCTTCCTCCCTCCTCCTCCCCCCTCCCCCCTGCGATTCACCCACCCAGTACAGCGCTTCGTGGCCCCATAGGGAGCTCCACCGAAGCCCCCAGTGGGAGTGGCCGCACTCGTCCCGGAAACCCAATTTGGCATTTTCACCCACCCAGTACAGCGTTCCGTGGCCGCATAGGGAGCTCCACCGAAGGCCCCAGTGCCACCGTCCACATGCGTCCCGAAAACCCAACTTGGCATTTTAACCCACCCAGTACAGCGTTCCGTGGCGCCACAGGGAGCTCAACCGAAGGCTCCAGTGCCGCCGTCCACATGCGTCCCGAAAACCAAATTTGGTATTTTCACCCTCCTAGTAAGCGTTTCGTGGCCCCATATGGAGCTCCAACGACGGCCCCAGTGCCACCGTTGCGTCCCGGAAACCAAATTTGACATTTTCCACCCGCCCAGCACAGCGTTTCGTGGCCCCACAGTGGGACCGCCCGCACGCGTCCCGAAAACCCAATTGGCATTTTCACCCACCCAGTACAGCGCTTCGTGGCCCCATAGGGAGCTCCACCAACGGCCCCAGTGCTACCGCCCGCATGCGTTCCCCCCCACCCAGTGCAGCGCTTCGTGGCCCCATGGGAGCTTCACCGAAGAAAATATTCACAATTGCGGTACCCACAACTGCATATGGTTGGGTCCTTCGCCAGGATAGTTTGTTTTACGACGGCGTCGGGTGCGAACAGCGAGGGCTGCTCTGCATCACGTCAGAGACACCCTAAGCCAGGCGTGCCGTCAAGCGGGAAGCAGTGACGACTGCACATGTGCGCTGGCCGGCATTCGTGGTCCGAACTTCGGGGGAACGCGCCGGCGTCGCCCAGATCACGGGCCCCGCAGGGGCCCTCAACCTTCGCGGTCTCCGCTTCCGTCCCCGCAGACAGCTCCGACGAGCACTGAGGCCCGCGCGCATCGAATTGTCGCCAGCGGGCCGAGTGCAGTCGTATCCTCTGACCCCCTTCTCTCAGGGCGTGATTTACATCCCCCGCTTTCGCTTCCAGGCAAAACCAAGCCATACCACGCGCCTCCTCGTCGAGCGGCCTGACCAGTACAGGCCGCAATTTGATTTGGCACCGTCTGGTATCTCCTGAAAGCGAGGGTGGTCAAAAGCGAGGGAGGTTTGTGTTCCCCCGAGTATCCTCTGACCCCCCTGACGCTGCCCCCCGACGGGGAGGCAGGAGGAGGAGGCAGGAGGAGGAGGAGGAGGAGGAGGAGGTGGAGGAGGAGGAGGAGGAGGAGTGAGGTGGATGAGGAGGGGAGGAGGAGGAGGAGGAGGAGGAGGAGGACCCCTCCTCCCGCCGCGCGCCCGAGGACAGCGCGAGGGCGCGAGAGGTCGCCGTGCGAGAGGCCGCTTCGCTCTAGCGAGCCAAGGGAAAGGGGCGCGGCAGCGGCTATAGCCGCGGCAGTGGCTAGCCGGGTGAGGGAGCCTCCCCTCGCTCCTCCCTCGTCCTCCAGCCTCCTCCACCCTCCTCCTCCTCCTCCTCCTCCACTCCTCCTCCTCCTCCTCCTCCTCCTCCTCCTCCTCCTCCTCCTCCTCCTCCTCCCACCCTCCTCCCGCCCTCCTCCTCCCTCCTCCTCCCCTCCTCCTCCTCCCTCCTCCTCCTCCTCCTCCTCCTCCTCCTCCCCCCCCTCCTCCTGCTCCTCCTCCTCCTCCTCCTCCTCCTCCTCCTCCTCCTCCACCCACCCTCCTCCTCCCTCCACCCTCCTCCACAACGATACACTATGAATGCTACTCTCCTTTCTCCCCCGATGTTGTGCGGAAGATGTTCGGCACCCCTCCGCGTATCGCAGGATTCTGGCGACTTGGTCTATCATGCATCCGTTCCTTTCCGGTCCTTCTACATGTTGTTCCCGCTACAGCGTTGGCCTCATGTTAAGGCTTCCGCTCGTTTCGAATCGTGTTCCCGCTGCAGCACTGGCCTCATCTCCGCGCTTTTGCTCGTTCCGAATCGTGCTCCCGCTGCAGTGCTGGCATTATTTCTGCGCTTTGCTCGCTCCGAATCATGTTCCTGCTGCAGCGCTGGCCTCATTTCCAGTGCCAAGCCATGGCATGCAATGCAATGCAATGCTATTGTGGGTTCCGCTGTGCGATGCCATGCCTTCAACTGCAATGCTATGATATGCAGTGCTTGACTATACAGTACCACGTCAGGCTATGTAATGCTACGCGTTGGTGTTCGACGCCATGCTATGCCATGTAATGCTATGCTACGCTACGACATCCGACTGCGCGAATAGAGAGGAGATCTACGCCACTGTAAAACATGGGAAAGAGGGGTAGGACGTCAGACAAGACGCTTGCGCACCTAGCTTGTCCTCCTCCTCCTCCTCCACCTCCTGTTCACTCCGACCTTCGGCCCCAACATGACAAGCTCAACAAAACGCATAACCTCTTCGGCCAGTACGACACCGTGATGCTGCGGGAGGCCCGTGGAGGCCAAGATGACGTCGACCCGCTGCGCGCTGCAGTGCACGGGGCCTGTGCCCGTGCCGCGTTTTGCGACACCCCGAACCCTCCTCCTCCTCCTCCTCCTCCTCCTCCTCCTCCTCCTCCTCCTCCCTCCTCCTCCTCCTCCTCCTCCTCTCTCCTCCTCCTCCTCCTCCTCCCTCCTCCTCCTCCTCCTCCTCCTCCTCCTCCTCCCCCTCCTCCTCCTCCTCCCCTCCTCCTCCTCCTCCTCCTCCTCCTCCTCCTCCTCCTCCTCCTCCTCCTCCCCCCCCCCCCTCCGCCTCCTCCTCCTCCTCCTCCTCCTCCTGGCTCGCTAGAGCGTGCCGGCTTCTCGTGCGACTGTTTTCGTGGTGTGGGGATTTCAATTGCCACGTCAACGGTGAGGCTCGGAGCGACTTGCGCGGCCATGCCGTGCACGGGAACTGCATGTGCGATCGGGTCCTACAGGCTGCCGCCCCCAATCTAGCGGAAGTCGAGCAACCCATGTACACCCACTGGGGTCAGGCAGGCACCAACATGTCGCTTGGGCGTAGCGAGCGTGTATATATTATATATATGTATATATATATATATATGTACAGAGTGCTCATTTCTAATTCGTGTGCTGCACGTGGCCTCCGCCGCCCCTTCGGCGCGCTTCATTTCTAATTCGTGGCCGGAATTGCAAACGACCGGAATTAGAAATGAACGCGCTTGTTAGGCCCATCATGCATTCTGTCAACCGACTGGATTACAATCCGCGGTCCCACTTGGTGGGGTCCCCGGTGGGGATCCGACTGTGCAGCGTCTCTTCTTGCCGAACATTGGGGCGCAGTGCACAATTTGACGATTGGGAGTTCACGGGCTCGTCGGCTCTTGCGGGACCACGTGCAACACGCCCCCGCTTGGATCCACTGGAAGTTGTGCCAGCATGAGTTTCAGGACGTTCTCGCGAAGCTTCACGATTCCGGGCCAGGCCCCGACGGCCTTCCGTACAGCGCCTCGGCCCGTGCTGGCGTGGAGGCACAAGATGCGTTGTTCGGATTGTACGAGCATGCCCTCTCCAACGGACCCTTGGACCCGGGCTTCAACTAATTATGCATTGGGGATGTTCTTGGCCAAAGGTGCCGAACCTGAGGACTCGAAATTGGTGTCCCGAGCTCCCGAGTGCACCCGGCCACTATGTTTCAGCAACGCCGACAACACAATAATATCAATTGGTATCAACAGACCATCTACATTTCTTTGCCAAACGACGGTCGCCATTGAACAACGGGGGTGTGTTGCAGGGAGGGATGTCATTTCCAATGTGGTGGATATTGAAAGTCGTGCCCTGTCCTGGTGGTGCTAGCATGGGTGTGATGAGTTCGGCATGGCTGTCCTTGATATCCAGGCGGCCTTTCCATCAAATTATCGCGCGATGATATGGTGGGTTCTGGCCCAGACGCAGATACCGACCCACATCATCGATGCACTGAAGGCTTTGTATAAGAGGGTGTGGGTTCAAAGTCAGTTCTGCGGGCCTTGGGACTTCGGATATTGGGCTCTGAGGGGTATAACACAAGGGTGCCTTGTCTCGGGATCAATATTTGTCTTGTGCTTCGACCCGTTCACTCGATTCCTGCTGCTCCAACTCCCGCGTGACTGTTGCGTGAGGGCCTTCGCCGACGACGTGGGGGTCGCTGCCGAAAGCCTCTGGGTCGCACTCAAGGTTTGCGTCGCCGTGTTCCTCGTTGCTCGTCGTGCTGCTGGACTCGAACTGAACTTCCGAAACTGCGTCCTCGTCCCTGTTGCTGGTGACTGCACAACACAGGTTGCCGCCAAGCTTATGGAGCACCGCGTCGCCGCTGCTGGATTCGAAGTCGCTCGCAACGCCAACTACCTCGGCGTCTGGATGGGGCCTGGCGGGTTACGGAAGAGCTGGGAAGCACCCTCGGGCAAGGTGATGGAGCGGGCCTGGGACATCAAGCGTCTGAACCTCGGTTTCTTTAAGTCTGTGTGACGTGCCTCTACAATAAACTGGCGCACCCGTTGCTCTCCCACACTAGCCAGTTTTACCTTCCGAGCAATTTGTGTCTGAGCTGGGAGCGGGAAGCCCTCCAGGTCATTACGAACACTCCCCGTGAAGCGATCCTCTCGGAGTCCTTGTTCTGTTTCGACGCGCCTGGTTTTGATTTGAGCGCTCGTGCGATCGAGTGTGCTGGTCCCGCCGCGCTGTAACGAGCCGCCCTGACCAGCCCTGGCTTTAAGAAAGCAGTGAATCTCGTGGACTCCGTGGGAGCTGGGGTCGACCGCCTCCTAGATTTTAGCGACAAGGGGGGGGATTCAAGAAAGCATTGCCTGTTCTATGATGTCCAGCTTCCGGCGCCTCTCCTCGATCCCCCCCATCCCCTGTTTCGGCACAGCTCTGCTTCAGCGTAAGACTGTGCACATCTGAATCACGATCTCAGCTCGAAGCCCGAGGCCGATGATTATGTATTTGTTGTATGCAATATTTTGAGTTGCTTGTTTCCCCGAGTGTTGTAGACCGATATCTCCGATACTTGAAACGCTTGCACAATCTCGGTGCCCCGTGCATCGTGTCTGCGTGCTTGAAGGCGTGCTGTAATGCGTGGTGCACCTCCCGACTCTTCCCCTGGGCCAACCCGCAACTGCCATTGGTGCGGCTCCGAGGCGGGGGACGACATTATCCATCTTATTTGTTGCCCCATCCATCCGCTCCTCCTCCTCCTCCTCCTCCTCCTCCTCCTCTTCCTCCTCCTCTTCCTCCTCCTCCTCCTTCTCCTAAGAGGAGGTCGTCCTTTTCCTCCTCCGTCTCCCTCCCCCTCCTCCTTCTCCTCCTCCTCCTCCTCCTCCTCCTTGTCTTTGCAAGTGCTTCCTCATGGCAATGCTGTTGCTGCCGAGGAACAACACGAAGCCGACGGTGCCGATGGTGGCGAAGGTTGGATGCTGTCAGCTGCTTCCGCTCGTTAGAGTTCTCGCGCCTTTCGGCTTGGACGGAGACAGTGTCCATCCATTTCCACGCCGCAGTGAGACAGTACGTTGCCAGCGCCTGACTTTTCCGCATTGCTTTCGGCTCGTATGCGAAGCAAATGAGGAGCCTGGCTGCGCTCTCGTTCCATGCACACCTTCGTGAGTGGGGGCTCGTGTCACGGCGGGCCATGTTCCTGAATATCAGCACCTCTCTACCGCTGTTTCGACGCTTGGGCCGATTTTGCGATGGCGACTGCGAGCAGCAGTGACGCTGAGTCCAGTGATACGGGTGGCGGCGATGCTGAGACCCGTGAGGCGCCCGATGTCTCTCGCCCATCCGGTCCCGATTCCCCTGTCCCCCTGACTGCCGTTGGGCCCATTCGCTTCGCTGGGATGCCGTCCGTTGTTCCCTTCCTCTTTTGTCCCGCCGTTGCCTTCCCTCCCTGCCTTTGCTGCCGCCTCTTCCGAGGCCTCCCACAATGCCACTAACGATTCCCTATCCGCTCCCGTGGAGCCCACACAAAACGCCGTGCTCGCCGCAGCACAAACCACGCTGAGCCGCTTCGGAGACACGTGGCGCCCCCAGGGTGCTGTCACTCCTCCTCCTCCTTCTCATCCCTCTCCTCCTCAGCCATGTCTAAGGTGGCGACGGGGCAAAAGGGCCACACTCGGGTGCTGTACGTTGGACCTTGTCAGACCAGATTGGCCATACTGCCGGTGTGTTTCACGCTCGGGCACATTCCCCCGCATGGTGGACCACCGTCCATGCCTTCTGGCCCTTTTCGTTTCCACCCCGTCTCTTCTCGAGCTTGCCTCGGTGGCAGGAGTCAGGGGCAACGATAGGGGGGGATAGGCATAGGGGGAGATGCATCGACCTCCGATCGCCCAATGATCGCCGATAGGGCCCAATAGTCCCAGCCTGCCAAGGAAGGTGCGGATTCACGATCGGAGG